AATAATCCATTTTGAAAGGGTAAATCCGTCAGGAATCATAACAGGGAAGCCACAGATTTACGCCCAATTTTTCACATCGTGTTCGGCACTGCGAGACCAGGTTTTGGTGAAATAAAAAAATGCTTCTGACAAAGCTTCCTACGATATTTATGTAAACGCATCTAAATTGCTGGAAGATCTAAATTCCTTACTTTCCAAGAAAATAAAAATTAGCCTGGGTAAGAAGCTGCATCGGTAATGGTAAAAAGTGACAGGAGAAAATGAAAAATGAACACACTCAGACGAAACTTTCTTATTTTTCTTAACGGTTCGACGTTAGGCTTCTGTTTACTTGGAAAGCAGTTGATATATAAAATACACTTTCTTTAGAGTATCAAACAAACGAGTGATACCCCATTGTGGCCCTCCCGATTGGGACAATTAACGAGGCGGATCACTGGCGACATGATAGAATTTCCACTTGTCCTGATGTCAAATCAATGAATGCTTTTATCCCATGAGTGGTCGACGCAGAAGGGGATCCTCAAGGACGCATAACTGAGGAGGAGGTAATGTCTATCAGAACAATAGTTGCCTTAATTGTGGGCTCATCCACCGAAGCCTTTCAGCCTCCAGCCGCATATCATGGTTCCCTCTTCCTCTCGTTGCCTACATTCATGACAAAAGTAAATTCAAATCCACACATCTTGTGGAGTTTTTAGGAAGAATTTAGAAGCTACAAGACTGCGATCATGAAGTATGCACACTAATTGCCCCAATTAGGCAAGTATTTTAAAAGAGGAATGAAGCATCTTTGTGTTGAAAGGTGTGAATCAAGTCAACAAGAACCTTGATCATTATGACATTTCGGAGAGCTTGACTTATGATATTTTAGGGGCAATATAACACACCAGCAAGTGGGTAAACATCGTAAAGTGAATTCCAGAAAAGGGACATACTGTTTCACCTCATCCTCTGCATCCCTTTACCTGGGTTATAAGTATCTACCCCACTTCTTGTCTTTACATTTTGACGACCATTTGCAAAGTAGGTGGGGAATAAAACGGGGATGGGTGAGGTTAGGTTTTTTCCACCTATGGCCAAAGCGTATTACAAACTGAAGTTTGCAAATGTGTCTTGTTGGGAAAAGACGGTTGAGTGCAAAGGCGATTATTTCAACTTATTTGGAGGCTGAACATATAGGTGACCTGAAATGAGGTGCTTGGCCAGTTAGCGATTGAAATTACCAGTTGTCAGACATTTGGCACTGACCCGATATCACCTATAGTCCGAGCCACCTACTTTAATATTTTTGTTTTATTCCCGATTTTGAAATATCATATGAGAAACTTTTGAGGTAAATAAGTTACTGAGAAAAGTCGTTAAACAGTTATATCCGGATCTTAGGTCATAGATCTGAGTCGACGGAGGAATGATGAATAACGGTTTGTGATAGGCACAGCTGTTCCGAGACCTAACTGCTTTAATTCTTCAACACTTTCAATGACGATAATTTCCGTTAGACATAAAAATTCCTTATCCTGGAACAAATCAACGCGGTAAATCGGTAAACCCGTGGAGTATCATTGTTCTGGGAGGAAATTATGGGCAAAGCTCTTCTAGCCAAATCAGACAATTAGGCTCCAGCACCGAAAGATTACCATATGTGCCGATCCCAAGGTTATTTGTGCTAGGGTCTTGATAAAGAAGAATAGAGATTTTTTTCCTCGGGTCACTGAACTTGCAAAACGAGGTTTGATGGATGGAACCGCCGAACTAGTTAATGGCCATAGAAAGCGCACAGAGTTACCGCGTTCAAGAAAGCGAACCTTTCGTCTAATAATTAAACATTTTTAGAGTCCAGCACAAAGTTTAGGCTATTTCATGCAAGGAGACGGCATTTTCCTCCCCACGCGATGATTACACGCGCATCAGACAGGACAGTCAAAGTACACATGAATTCTTCATGAAGGCTGTTGTTTCGGTAACTTTGTAGGAGACACAAATGTGATTCCTCTGGCCGAATCTAATTGAAGTGTTAATTTCTCCTTAATTATCGTAGATGAGCATCGAATTATGGCCAAAAATTCTAGCAGTTTCTTCAATTCTGATCGAGTTTCAAGTACTCAAGTGGCTGGATTCCATTTCTGGTTCTTTGAACTACTCGAAAACGTGAATTTGTCAAGCGATGCATTCCCAATTATATTCAGACAATCGCAAAGAAGGGTAGGCTTTAAGTATCCTCTCTCCTTGTCATCGCCCAGGCAAAACGAATTTCGGCAGCCAAGGTCAGAAGCACTTTTTATTCAACAGTGTGTTCCAGTGAAAGGAAACAGTTGTGACCTCAGAAAAGGTTGCTCTTCCAGGAAACTAGTTTGAAACGAAACAGTGTATCTATCCACCTTTTTGTATTCTCCAATGTCAAAATAAGGTCTAAATTATGACTTAAAGATGGAGTGGTTTTTGCCTTAATTAAGTTTTCAAGTGTCCAAATAGATGTTCTTAATCCTTTATTTGATCAAATTAAAACAATTAAAATGCAGATTTTTCATCTCTGTCATGATCAAAAACAAAAATGTACTTTCTTTGCACTTTTTCTGTCCCATTAAAATATATGACTAGGAGAATCAGTTCTACCTAAGGTCAATCAACCTCAATTTTAAAGGTTTCGAACTATTAATTCTGCTGGAAAATCAAGTTGGTTTTTCATCTCACAGTGCTGAGTTGAATAACAAGGAGCTTTTTTCCTGAAGGCATCTAAAAGATCCACCTTTTTCTCAAGTCAAGGCAAATTAACTCCACTGATTTACTCCATTTTTACAGTCAAATTTAACACAATTTTCTCTCCTATGGTTGTTACACTGTCAAAGGTGTATCTAAGCTCTAGTTTTAAGTGGTATTGCGTTCCCATCTGTTCATTTCCCTTTCAAAAAAACTTAGACAGCTACGGTGAAGTCACAGTAGTAGATGGCTTTAGCCGGAGCACGAGGGTGTTGGCACCAGCGACGGCTATTGACCGCGTCTACACACACGCAAACGAGCGCATATACACAAATCTCCGTGTTTCCAGTTTGTCCGCATCCGTTCTGACCGTCCAAAGTAAACAGTTGTGTCAACCAGTCTAACTTGTTTACATGTACCAAAAAAGTCCTGCGCTTTCACTAAGGAATTAGCTACCTTTTTGCCCCGTTCTAGTGAGTTCTTTGGTGGCGGAATGTTTTTCTTCGTCCAAAAACTGGCTAAATTGAATTTATTTGAAGACCTTTGGAAAATAAAAATATAAGATCCATTTAAATGCTGGAGATCCACTATATGAAAAGGTGGTGTAAGTTTGGGGTAACAACTCTGTTTCAGGGAGTGGAAAAAGAATTGGGAATAGGGCACGTTGAACTCAAGCTGGTGTTCTGCCACTCGCTTTAAAAAGTGATATTTTCTAGCAAGAAGGTCTCCTTACTTGCCTTATTTTTGTAAGAATTTCTGAGAAATCATTCTTTGTGAATGAAAATGGTCCAAAATGACATTTCCGGATGTCAACCTTTTTGGAAGGTCACCTTATTCGTGTATTCCCTAATTAAATCCTTTCCCCACTTGAAAATAATTTTTTTTTTACAATCGAAATTAAGAAGGGGCTTAGTGATCCTCCTCTACCGTCTAATTTTATCCACAAAAATAAAGAGCAAAATAGTGGATTTCATCTGCTGAAGCTCCAGTAAAAATTAATGTCTATGCATTCTCTTATGCTTAAGCTGGGAAGCTTTGGAAGGCTCTTTGAGTGTGTCTTTGCATGATAAAAAATTTATCAGGAAGTAGAAAAATGAGGCCAAACAGATGCTAAATTTTCCCAACGCATTCAAGTGGTCAGAATAGATAGAAAATTCAAATCTACCAGAGGAGATGAGCGATGGCATCAGTGACATCAGGTTTCTGCCTCCATAATAAAAGATGACAAACTTTTGTGATTGCGCCCTCTTCGTTCATTATTCAGTGAATTACCTGATTTAGAACTCCTACGAGACGGTGTTACTTGCTCAATTAGCCTGTTTGTTGGAGAGCAGATAGAAATACCTCTTTATAGCAAGTCACATTCAATAGGAAATTCGCCTGCTAAGTAGTGGAACAAAACGAGTTTACAAGAATTCCATATCATTTGCAAATACCACTGCGTTTCTTTTACACAAACACTTATCTCAGTTGCTACCGTTTCTCCACAGAATGTCAGTAACGTTTACTTAGTAGAAGGACACTTTGCTTTCCATAAACTTGGCAAACAAAACTCAAAAGAAACTTTATCTGCAGCTCTAGGGCCGTGCTGACAAGGCAATACGCTATTGGCGTGTACAAAGTACACTTATCTCCCTCCATAAATCTGCCTGCAAAAAAAATTTGGACAAAAAAAACAAAATTTCACAGATGAGCTCTCAAACTTAATCAGCAGAGTTGATGGTAGTTTAGTAGAAAGTGTGCAAGTGGAAATGAGAATGTGATGAGGTTTTTTTACAAATTTTACGCCCAAAAAGCTATTTATCATTTGTCGGAGTTCGCAATGGGGAGACTACAGCAACCACTCTTACTAAAAATCAAAATTAATCTTTTATTTGGGCAAACGCGAAATAACAAAAAAGAATTTTTATTAATGTTTGAAATCCATCTGGACTTTTGGTGTGGTCGCATTTGGCCTCTACTTAAGGGAGAAATTAAAGTAAAATCCCCTTTACATCCCCTTGACCTTGGAAGCACGCTTACCCGATTTTTGATTGGAAGGCAATAAATTTTTTCACTTTCCACTAGAGAGTTTAGAATCACTTTTCGCCTCAGGGTATACCTTTCATATCAATTTACTCTAAAATAAAGCTTAAACTTTTCTAAATATGATCAAATATTTTAGATCTTCTAAAAAAAGCAACTAGCGAATTATGCAATCACTTACTTTAATGTTTCGGGTCAGAAGAAAAAAATAGAGTATCTATTCTAGCGATAATTAGTAATGATGCAGAAAGTTATTGAAGAAATTGAAGTCTTACATCTGTTTGAGTCGAGCCGTTTTCGGTGACCGGTTGACGACGAAGTTCCTCTTCAACCTGAAATTGGTTTTGGTTTTTTTGCATTTTAAAGCAGTAAAAAATTAACTTTTATCGAGGTAAATAGTCCTGGGTGGAGATCTCGCACTACCTCCGATGCCATTAATTCCCCTTCCACAATTAGCGTTAATTTGTTTCAGTTTACTTTAATTTGCTAAACCTAGTGAAAAGTAAATCCGGAAGTATGAAATAAAGTGTATGTATTATACATTTGAAACCGACACAAAAGACAACTTTGTCAGTTTTGCACTCATCAATACCGACTTAAAATTCTCTGTGATGTAATGCCTTGACTGTCTAACTCTTCGTTTTGATTGCGCGGGCACCTTAACGCTTGGTGGCATGGCCTGGTGGCCATGCCAGTAGCCCCCAGCCCTTCTGTATGTCGCCAATACATATCCTGTCCCAGCATCATGTTTTCTCTCGTCTTCATGGAAGTCTCGCGGCGCCACACTGGCGCCATCGGAAGGCAAACCCAATCCCAAGGGACAACTACCCTGATTTCTATTCCTCAATGCCAAGTCATCGTGACGAAAGAAGGTTTCACATGGCAGATGGGAGAATCTGTTACCACCTTTACAATCGGCAGCTACCTCAGCCACTAGGTCTACAGGAATGCTGTTAACATTTGAGGCGACACTAGCCGTCAGCCACCTAGAAGAGTGTATTATGGAGCTGTCCACGGTACCTGCATGAAGATGCCAATTATGTTAACACGCAATCCCTCCTCCATCTACTTCTAGTTGGATGAAACCCAGATACATGTGGCTAGACAGCCCTGATATGAGAACAAAGGGGCAAGGAGGAATGGACCCAAGGTCTTGTCCCCACGATACTACGCAAAACCACGTCCTTTAGTAGTTGACTCTGCCCCTGGGCCAGTGTTCTTACGACTAGTGATGAACATATGAGGCGGTCAGCACATTCCCCTTCAGCACAATACAGTTCCCAAACAGGACAAAACTCCGGATCCAGTGGAACTGCCAAGAGGTATCGGTGATGTTGCATTCAGAAATCTCATCTGCACGCAAATTCTACGACTGGCGCAGTTGATTCGTGGGTGTTTATTCTACACCACCGACAACGTTATGATGGCCGACGCGGAAGGTTGACCGAGGGGAATGCCGAGGACGACGCTCAAAGGGAAGCTATGGAATACTTTGATTAATTATTTAACTTTTTGGTTTCGAGGACACTGAGGAGCACGACCATTATACTTCCGTTGGGCAGCATGACCTCCGAGCCCTGCCAGTAGCTCTTCGGCCCTTCTGTCCTGGTACTACGACTCCTTTCGACTTCAGGAAATACTCGGTGAGCTACAGTAACATCTCATACTAAAACAAATGCCTCCTGAATGAAAAAATTAAGTCCTAAAGGTTTACTCAAATTAAAAAGAATGCCTCTACTTGTATTTGTTTTTGAAGAATCTTCTATTTTGTTCACTTACCATAGCCTTTTGGTTTTCAATTTCGACCATCTGAAAATCGAGCAGCTCTAGTTGCTCCTTCATCTCCAATTTGGTGAGTTCCAACACTTCAATCTTCTTGGCCGACTCGTAGAGCTAGAGGAAAATGCATTCTAAAGAACTCACTCTGAGTGGATCTAAAAAAATGTTCGTGCTAGGGAGCACAATGGACCACGTCTTTTGAGTATTCATCTCGAAGAAAATTCAGATTTCCCAATTCGGTGGCATAGATCGGGCTACAATCATAATCCCTATCTCCTTATTAACAATCAAAATGTCCAGTTTTCGTTTGTTCATTTAAAACCACGCTATCTCCAACCGGCTTACAGCCTCAATGAAAAAGTTTAGTTCCATGTGGCTACTCTTTTAAAATGCCGCCCTGTGAATAATTTTTAAGCTTTTAAGTTGCGTCTGTGGGTATTTCATACCACTAAGCACCCATGCAAAAAGATATGTGTGCCACCATACATTTTAGCTATGTAAATGAGAAAACTGAAGGATAATTTGGTTGCCGCTCCTTCAAGGAATATTCGCAGTTACTAATTTTATGCATAACAGTTTACAGTGCACCATCCAGTGCTAGGATGGTGAAATTGGTAAAAATTTATACATCTTGGCAGGGAAATTCTTACTATACTTCAATTTAAAAGTGATGCTTTAAATCTGCATAAAAATGCACAATTTACTCTAAAAATGAAATGATTTCTTCACTGGAAATCAGTTTATCCAACACCGTGATGCAGCAGCTTTGATGTCACAACTATCAAATATTCACCACAAAATTCTAAGTCTACTTGTTTAAGGAAACAATTTTCTTCAAAGTACATGAAAACAAGTAAAACCCAGCTGCCCCGGGTTATGGTATCACCTTAGCGACGCACAATACTTGGGAATTCTGACGAGTGAATGGCATAAATCACCGTTTTGGCGCGAAATCGCCACAGCTAGGTCATTCGTGGTCCCAAGATAATTTTCGTGAACCTCCTCATATGTCAATTCACTTTAGCTGCGGAATTTAATAATTTCACACAGAACTTGGATGCGTTTTTGTTGTCGCCTCCGCATTTCAAGCTATCCTTGTGTAAGGCTGGCAATGCCATAGCCTGAAAGGAGCACCGAAAAATAATTACCTGGTTGAGCAGTTTCTTGTTCTGCCGAATGAGGGACCTTCTCTCCTCTGCTTCACGTGGATCCTCGAGGGGAAAAAAGACCAAAGTTCAAAGTGGCACAGTCGTCCCACTCTGGTGAGCTGCTTGATGCACCGGTATCTGGGCCTTACTATTATCCACTTTGTAGCGCATTCTCGTCGAAGTGGCTTTGAGCATCAGTGTTATTAGCGTTTGGCTTTATTTTACAAGATCCTCGGTAAAAGTTCAGACCGCATCACATTTCAGACCTCAGGTTACATAACAGACAAAATCATTGAGCTGACACGCCTGCTGCCGGGGCTATAGTCTCAGAGGCCTTATTGTGCCATGATGGCGCCAGTCGTTGTTAGTTTTTTATAGAAGCTGCTCATAGCACGTCAATTGAGCAAAATAAGCGACTTACCGTTTTGTAAACTCAATCAACCCGTTTGGAAAACGATTTGGGGAAATCAGTAATTGAAAATTATAAAGGGCATGTGTTACCTATGTGTAACGCCAGGTTTAGGTAAAAAAATCTAGGAAATGAAGCATTCCTCATTAGTTAAGCCCGTTTATGAATTCTGGAACCTTTCGATCCGAATGAAAAGAAAGTGGAATCTGATTTTCAACTAGACTGAGCAGAGCGAAAAATCGCAACCTTCACTGCCCTACAAATGAAGCAGCAACGCCACTAAACACTACTTGGCCCCCTTTTAAAGAAGCTTTTAGTCCAAAGTAGAGCCTATTGCTTGCTGTCCCGTAAATTGTAAAAAGCTGCCGAAGCAGTAAATAATGATTCACTGCTAATTACATGGTTGACTGCTCCTCCTTCTCCTGTGTCGCAAAGCGGAGACCTAGGGTTTGACATGGACGATTAATCCGACCATGTCTAGTTTCCACGCTTGCCTACAACCTACTTTTTCCCCTCAGATCGCCACCGCCTTTTCGTGCAGATAATTGAATGATTTACTTAAATTTCACTTATACGATTGACAAATAGTGAGTACGAGGTGCTGCCAACTATCCCCACTCCCCCCCCCCTCCTCCAATAGGTTGAATCAAAGGGAGTAACTGTGGTCCACTTTTACCGCCTAATAAATTACGGCATCACATGGTGTTAATTACGAATTTGCGAAGAAAAAGACGTCTAATGGCACCCGTACTTTACAATCCGCAGTATCTTGAAGAGTAGGCAACAGCAGCTTCCGTTCTTTTCAACAGACAGCTAGTTGTTGTGAATGAACTATGGCTCCGATTCGCTGAAATCTTATGTGGGAGTCATTTTAGACCAATTTTTGACAGCGTCACAGAATTTTGATTCAGCATTTAACCATACGGATTTTGTTTATGTCACAACTGTCCCTATGTAGTTTGGCAATAAATCGGCTTCCAGACTACCGCGCCCCATCACTTATTCAGAGGTGACTCCGACGCCACAGCGGTGGTAGCATTAAGCAAGTGCGGAAAAAATAATTCAAATTTCGCATGGCGGACGCTACGCATCAACGTCACAGACAGAGGGGTACCTACTGCCGGTAGATGGGACCACAGAGACTAGAAACAGAAAGGCTGCCAAAATCACTTTAATCTCACGATCGTCCTTATGGTCAATTATGAAGTCAAATTGGGTGTAACTGGTTGGTAGGTGTCAGTAGAACACCAATTGAAGGAATTTAAATGGCTTTATCGACTTATTAGTGTCACTTAAATCATCAGCATTGTTCTATACTCTCAAAAGCTAGGAAATACTCAAACTGGCATACCTCGCAGTCTCTTCAGATGTGACTCGGACACTGCAGCGGATGGGATCACCGCTAAACTACGTGGACATTAAAGGCATCATTTTCAACGCTTTTCTCAAGTCTGAAGCAATACTTCATAGTCTTATCCACAGGAGATGATGTGAAGACATCACCACATCGACCGCCACACAGCCCTCCCCTCGCTCTTTCATTATCGCTCATTTGAGGTTGGTGAGGGAGCAGCTTTATTGCTAGCAAAATATCGGCCCAAATAACCCCTCGAATCGATCATAAAATTTGATATATGCACTAAAGCTGTCCAGATTATACTCGATGGACAACACCGCTTCCATAGCATAAATACACTGAAATTGAATGAGTGACTTCACACAGCAGTCTTTACGGTGGCTTTACCTCGTGGCACTATGTAATTCGCTGTCTACAAATGTGGGCAAAAATAGATTGCGCCAGTCTGTCAGCTGCTTTTTATTAGTTCTGCCGGCCTGCCTGTTGATCAGACAGGCAGTCTGCGTTCATTGGTCCGACGGACAGCCCTATAGGCCGGCCGCGTTTGGATGGCGTTTGAACGGGCCACAAATCCCGTGTATGGGGGTCGCGTACAGTTCTCAGCGTAGTGATGATCAAATCCGCCGACCCGTTTTTTTTGGCGATTTTGCGCCAGTTGGAGGTGGAGACGAAGTAAAGTGACAGACTGTGTCGGTTCATGGTCGACAAGACCCAACCCACTTACGGATTAAACTTAAGATCTAGCTTCCATTGGGGGATTTGGGCTTGAAAGCATTCTAAATTTGTCGTTTGGATAGTTGGTATACCACATTTCCTTCAGAATTGCACTCATATATGCAAAAACTTGTTCTTAAAATTTTAGAATTTGCTAAAATTGTTTTGACTGGGAAGTAAAAGTGGTAAACACCGACTCCTTTCAGATGCGATGAAAGTCATCCTTTTACAAATTTTTAAAAAATCCCGAAGCCAGTTTGATTTCCTACTTTGTGGCACAAGAAATTACTTTCTTAAATTCCATTTGCTAACCATTGTGCAACTAGAACGTTACCAATTTAATCTTCCGCATAGCACAATATATGTATGTATGACTACACCATCCCGACAGACATCAGGCCACCTACTTCGACAAAACTGACAATCCAGACAACACCGCCCTTCTCTCCAGCGAGGACAGTAACTTCAATTCACCACAAAACATGCGCTGTCTAATTCCCTTTTCAAACAACACTCGATGCTATGTATCAACCGATTTACTCGCTCAAGGGGTTTAGAGGTAGAAAACAACAGCATCACATGCTTCTTAATAAAATCCAAAAATATGCTTAAATTTTAATACTTTGATCATTCATTTAACTCTTCCTTTTGATTTAACGGGCAATTAGAGCTCTGCCATTGCACTTCCATTGGACGGCGCGAACTCCGGGCCA